ACGGTACAATGAATCTCAGGTACCTACCGGCAGGCTAGGTGCACGGTGGCAGTTAACGTTTTGCCAACTTTGTTGCATCAGTTCTCCTTGCTCCCTGCAGTGGAGTGAATGTGCGTGTATCATTCTCACTCCCTTCCCCAATTTTATGGTATTTGAGGTGGGCCTTTGGGAGGTGATTAGGTCAGAGGGTGGAGTCCTCACAAATGGGATTGGTGCCCTTGTAAAAGATATCCCCGAGAGCTCCCTTGCCCCTTCTGCCATGTGAGGTTACAACAAAAATATGAACCAGGAAGCTTATCTTTACCAGACATAGAATGTGCCAGCACCTTGGTCTTAGACGTCCCAACCCCCAGAACTATGAGGAATACATTTGTGTTGTTTATAAGCCACTCAGTCCTTGGCATATTGTTACATCAGCTTGAAGAAACTAAGATGTTCCCTCCTCCCCCACGAAATAATTTAAAGCAATTTCAGGTATCCTCTTAGTATACCTGTAATAAATAGATGTTTCTAAGAAAGGAATCTTTTTTCCTTTTTAACATATCTACAATACCATTATCATCTTTTACACAATAATTCTTTGATGTCATCTGTTAGTTTGATTAGATTTTTTGCTTGTCTCAGAAATGTCCTTTTTTTTTTATACTTGGTTTATTTGAGTCAAGATTCCATTAAGGTCCACACTTTGCCTTTGATGGCTAAGTTTTTTGGTAATTACCTTTTTATAGATGATTTTAGAATATATAAAGTTTCTTATATAAATATAAACAGTGCTAAATGCTCTCTGCCAATACTCCCCCAAAGACATGGGATTGAGCACAGCATAATAAAACTTCACACCTTTTCTTAAACTTAATAATGAGACCCAAAAGGAAGGTAGATCTAGGTCGGATGTTGAAGGATTTTGTATGCCATGATGAACTTCTTTTTTTAAAAGGTGGAGGGGAGCCATCGAAAGCTTTCATGTCAGAATTGTGATGGAATTTGTGTTTTGGAAACGATCATTCAGATAGCAGAGAGGTATTTGAGGGGGTGATTGCAAAGGCAGGAAGACTCGTTCCAGAGATCCCTGCAGGGTCCGGATGTGAGACGGTCATCTCATGACAATGCTGTCACCATCAGTGGCTATAGGTTAGGAGATAGATGGGAGGGGACAGACGTAGGCGGTACATTTTAGAAGTAGAAAGCTTGCTGACTGGATGTAGAGGTGCTTTGGAGGGAGGAATCTGAGATGACTCCCAGGTTTCTGACTCAGGAACTGAGCTCATGTATGTTTACTTGGGCAGCCATAACAAAATGCCACCAACTGGGTATCTTAAACAACAGGACTCTGCATTCTCACAGTACTGGAGGCTGAAATTTCCAAAATCCTGGTGTCTGCTGCTTTATTTTTTTCTGAAGACCCTTCCTTGGCTTGTACATTGCTGCTGTCTTCTTGCTGTGGCCTCACGTGGTCCTTTCTCTTTGTATATATATCCCGAGTGCCTAGTGTCTCTTTGTATTTCCAGTTTCCTTTTCTTCTTCTTCTTTTTTTTTTTTTTAAAGATTTTATTTATTTTTTTGAGAGAGTATAAGTGCGGGGTGGGGAGAGGCAGAGGGAGAGGGACAAGCAGACTCCCCACCAAGGAGGGAGCCCGATGTGGGGCTCAGTCCCACGACCTCAGGATCATGACCAGAGCTGAAGGCAGATGCTTAACCGACTGAGCCACCCAGGTGCCCCCAGTTTCCTTTTCTTATAATGCACAGCATTCAGATTGGGTTAGGGCTCATCTTAGCTGCCATTTTAACTTAGTCACCTCTTTAAAGGCCTTGTCTCTAACTACAGTTCCATTCTGAGGTACTGGGGGTTAGGGCTTCAAAATACAAATTTTGAGGGGACACGATTCAATCCATAATGTCATGGCTCTGCCACTAACTGAGATCCAGAAAGCATTGAAAGCATCAGGTTAATTTTGGGCTACCTTGTGCTACTACACATGGAACCCTCATCTGTGCATATATGGCTCCCATCAGTGTCACCTCATCCTGAGCGATTTCCTCTGATTGCCTTTGGTGTTGAGGATTGGTGGTGGGCTGAGGCATGGAAGGATTGCAGGTGCTGCTGAGCGGGTGATGGAGGTGAAGAGGTTTGGAGTACATATATCAGGGTTTAGGAAAGAAAAGGCTGGACTCCGTCCTTGGTGTGTCTATGTTGCAAGATTATTTAGGTCATGAAGAGTAACTAAATGTTTTTGTGTTGTTGGTTAGATTTTTACTCTTAATTAATTTTGTACTCCTGTACTAGTCTACTTTAGTACATGTGAGAAATGTGTAAGACATTAACAAAACTACTTTTTAATTTTAGAAGCGGGAAATATGTGTACAAGCCTGTCATGAATCAAACATGTTGCCCTCAGTACACGATAAGGTAAGAAAGAGGAGGTATATATAAATTTGAGGAGTATGTATAGTTCTTCAGTGACATCTTGCTTTTTTTACATGTTAATTTTCATTCTAGCTAGACGCTTTATAAAGAAGAGCAAATGAGTTATATCTTTTCTACAAACTGATGCTACATTTATATGTCATCAGTAGCTTTTAATAATACTGTTTAATGGTTTGGGTGTAAATAGGATATGAAAAAGTATACTGTTTAGCAGTCTAGTCAATGATATGACATATTGTGAGAATATTAGAAAATAGATTACTTTTAGATATCACATGTTTTGTAGAATTGAGCTTGGGGATTTCCAGATTCTAGTGTATTACTGGACACAGTACTCACATTCAGACAGCACTATAGGATCTGTAGGAAGAGGAGGGGGAGGGCTGACATTTAATCTGCCACATATATTGAGAGTCCAGTTTTCTTCATCGGAAAACTTAAAAGTCTGTTTTCCGACAAAGTGTTTGCTTCACCAGCAAACCCCGATATAACATGGAAGGATTTTCCCTCTTCAGATTAGACAGATCCTCCTTTTCCCCCTGGTCCTTGCCTTCCTCTTCTGGTAGAGTCTAGGGCAAGTATGTTGCCATTATGAAGCATTTGTCTACAGTTTCAATATGAGTATATTCTCTAGATAAAAAAGCAAACACAGTTGTATCCATCATGTTTTGGCTGGTCCTCACACCTCTTTCTCTTAGTTGCTCTTTTTTTTTTTTTTTTGAAAGATTTTATTGATTTCTTTGAGAGAGGGAGAGAGAATGAGAGATAGAGAGCACGAGAGGGAAGAGGGTCGGAGGGAGAAGCAGACTCCCCGCCGAGCAGGGAGCCCGACGCGGGACTCGACCCCGGGACTCTGGGATCACGACCTGAGCCGAAGGCAGTCGCCCAACCAACTGAGCCACCCAGGCGCCCTCTCTTAGTTGCTCTTAATTTGTTTTGGGATTGAAGACTTGACAATCTGATGAAAAGTGACAGACCCTTTCTGCAGCCAAACAGAAGGGAGGGGGCATATAGGCAAAAATATGTAACATTTGCATACTAATTTTAGGATGATCTTGGGCTCCCCACGGGCTCTCACAGTTCCACCGATTCCTGGTTAAGAATCCTTTCTTTTATCTAACTGGGCATAGGACTGGAACAATAAAGAGAAAAGATGGGTGTCTGGTTTGCTGAAATCATCTCACTAAGGCCGCTGTCCTGTCATCCTGCAGCTTTAGTGGTTATGAAGCAGTGACATCCTCAAAGGCAGACGTCCTTTCCTTCAAGTAACAGTTTGTTATTGGATTATGGCCCAGATTTTGTTTAAATAAGTCTGCAGCTGATTTGCTAGAACCCTGTGAATTTCTAATCAGAAAAGGTTAAAAAAAAAAAAGTCAATTTCAGTGGGTTAGAGAAAAAGACCAAGCCTCTATAATTTATTGGGTGCCTCTCAATGCAAAGCTCTGTTCCAGGTATATTGCTTTTATGAAAAGGGATTCAATTAACATTGCAAAACAAAATAATTATAAAATGTGATTTTTTTTTTTGGCATGAAATCAAACATTTCCTGAATTGTTATCCTTTACACAACTTCATTACATGTATTGATATTACAGAGTCGTTTTGCATATTTCCTGTTCTGGGTTTTTTTACTTTGTTTACTGCAGTAGTTATAATGAGACCTAATGTGAAGTCAAGGCGATTATAACCTACAACGTAGCTTCTTGTTAGATGTCAGGGGCTGCCCAGTATGTGAGTGTAAATGAGGATAAGCTTCCTTGGCTATGAATTTTTTTGTTTTTTAGTTTTTATTTTTATATAGAATTATATATGCTAGTAATTTAAAAATCAAACAATTCCATAAAGCTTACTTTGCAAAATTGCAGTCCCCTGAACCTCCCTATCTATTTCTTTTTCCCAGTGCAGTCACTCTCAGAGTTTTTAACTGATTTTTTTGTTTGTTTGTTTATTCTTCTACCTTTAAGTGACATGCTTATATAATTACAAAAACCTTATCTCATTATCTTTGGGTTTTTCTCATATCTCTGGGTTTCTCTCTTTGAAAGGTAAGGATTCAACTTTATTTTTTCTCATTATCTCTGAATTTCTCTCTTTGAAAGATAAGGATTTAACTTTATTTCATCCCCGTTGCCCTGTCACATTCAAGCTCCTTTTTGTCCTCATTGCCAACTGCCCAGCTCAGAAGTATCTTAACGTTGGACGGTGTAGTCGCTGGATCATGGCCTATAAATATGCCATGTGGTCGAGCCATGCAGTGTACTGTTCATTACATTTTCTTTCCTTCACAAGTTTTTGCTTTCCATGGAGTTGATCATTGTCTTTTTTGTTTGCATCGTCTTCTGTGTACCCATCACCAGTCAGTTTTAGAAATCCTCCCACAGTTGTGTAAATTTCCTCTTGGTATTTATAGGTGCTTCAGGTCCTCCGTCACTTGTGTCCTCTTCACGAATATGTCTGTGTTGTCTTCTGACCTACTGTGATCTGGACAGGTTGTCTTTCCAGCTGATGCATCACTGTCACCCTGGGATCTCTTTTTACTGCCATCTTGGGGATTCTCTTTGGATCTCATGTTTTCTGTCTCCTCTGACCTCTCAGATTATTTCCTCATTTTAGTGCAGCTCATCTTCTAATAGCTTTCTTGAGAAAAAGTGTATTTTTTTTGAAGTCCTTTTTCTAGACTTTGTATGTTTGAAAAAAAATTTTTTTAAGAGAGAAAGAGATAGTGTGCGAGCGGGGATGGGGGCAGAGGGAGAGGGAGAGAGAATCCCAAGCAGGCTCCATGCTCAGCATAGAGCCTGACTCGGGGCTCCATCTCCACGACCCTGAGATCATGACCTGAGCCCAAACCAAGAGTCAGTCAGATGCTCATCCAGCTGAGCCACCCAGGTGCCCCTGTTGGAAAATGTTTTAATTCACCACTCAGATATCTAGTTTGGCTGGGCTATAGCAGTGTAGATTGGAAATAATTTTGCCTTAGAATTTTGAAGGCTTTGCTTCTGATTCTTGTTCCTTTGTCCAAAACGTTCTTTCCTTTTGAAAGGTTTTTTTGTCCCCAATGTTCTGATATTTCACGTCTGGTGGTGTGTCTGTCTGCGTCCATTGCTTAAGGACTTAAGGGGCTCTTCTTATCTGGGGCCTCCTCCCATCATATCCTTCACTTCACAGAAATTTTCTTTTATTATTTTGTTGATCTTCTTCCCCCCATTTTTTTCTCCTCTTCTTTTATAATGTCTTCATTCAGATGTTGAACTTTTAGAGTGATCCTCTAACTTTTTTTTCTCGTTTTCCATCCCTTTTGCAATATCTTTTGGGAAATTTCCTCAGTTTTCTGAGTCTTCTGTTTAATTGTTTATTTCTTCTATTATATTTTTACTTCTGAGAGATTTTTGGTTTTGGACTCTCTCTCCCTCTCTTTTTTGTAACCTCCCATTATCGTGTGGCTGTACTAGCTAAAGAGAAATAAGAGCGTGTTCTTCTTAGGATGTTCGTGTTCTTCTTAGGTTATTTGTATTTTTAGGCTCTCTTCTTGTATATCCTCCAGGTTACCTCTCCAGTGTCTTTGTAGAGGTTCTCCTTGAGTGTCCGGTGCTTCTGACTTTCCAGGGGGGAGTCCCTGAGGTATCTCGAGGTCTGGTCACATTCTGGAGAGAAAGTGCCCATGTTTGTGGCTGGGTTGGGAAATGGGTTGGAGGTTTCCACATTCAGTATGTAGACTTTCATTTAAGCTTCCTGTTTCTAGTACATTTCCATTGCTTTCCGCTGTGCCTACATCCTCATGTAGGAGGCCCTATTTTTTACTCTTTCCTAAATGTGGAGCTTTCTCCTGGGTTGTGTAGGGAGTCCTGTGTGGAGTGGTGGAGGCATCAGACATCTAACTGCTTCCAAAACAGACTTTCAAGCGATCTTTCTATTTTTGGAACCACCTTCACTCTTATCTCCTGAGGTATCAGTTATCAACCAATCCCTAAAATTTGTAGGGTTAATGTAGAGAAAATTAGTTATCATTTTGGCTTTTCCCACTGTTGGTTTAGGATTCAAAAATTCTTTGGTCTGCTAAGTCAGTTACCACTTGTGCATGTTCTGCCCAGCTTCTAGGATTTCTCCTCTTTTTTTTTTTTCAGTGATTTATGCCTTTTTCTTTTTTTCTAATTCCTTAATGTAGTTTTAGGGGGATTTGGGGTGGGACTAGAGGCTACATCAAGCCCTGTCTTTACCCAAAAATCCTGGGCATGAATTTTGCCTTTCTGTACTAGACACTGCCCAGAACTCATTTTATTTCTTCTGGTTTGAGTTCACTTTCTAAATATTTATTTTGCTTTCCTAGGTGCCGACCTTTACAGTTTCAGCCGTCAAAATCTCACAAGAAGGTTTTGAAAAAAATGTTGAAATTTCTGGCTAAAGGGGAAATTTCCAAAGGAAATTGTGAGGGTAAGATGAGTTGGGGGTGTAAAAACTCTTTACATCGATGTAGATTTCCAAGGTTGTCATTTTCGGTTATTTCTTAAGTAGGGGAATGGGTCCTTACTGCAGTCAGGTAGTACTATTCTTCTGATGGTGGGGATTGCTGTTAGCGTTGCTGTTACTATTACCACTGGCCCGAAAGTCAAGGATATAGGGAATGTCTGTCAGGGAAAGTCTAGCTGCAGAAGAAGATGGAGGACAGTTTTAAAGATATTGTGATGTCTTGGAGTTTATTGGAACTTTAGTTTTCACAGTACTTTGACAACTCCTATCTTACTTGATCCTAATAGTACCTTGTGAAGTAAATGGGAAGTGGTATTACGTTTGAGAAACAGATGCTTAGGTGCACCTTACATAAGATTGCATAATCACTTTGAATGATGAGTAAAGCTCAGGTTTTCTGTGTTTGAGGAAGCCCTTCAGTAAATCATATTGCCCGAAATTTTCTTATTTATGTGATAAATTTTGAATTGAGAGTCAATTTCCTACAAGATAATTAGAAATATTTAATGAACTTTGGTTATAGATACTTTGCTTTTTCAGTTTTTTCAGTGTCTTTTCCTTTTAAAAGTTTTATTAGGCAGTGCCTAATACATGAGCTTAATAATTGGGAATGCTACCTGTCCTTAGAGCTGTCTCTCACTTCTGCCATAGGAAATACCTAATCCTGGAAGCCTTCCATCCCAGTTTTAACTTGTTAATATATTCCCCAAGTGTGTTTTCATTGCCCACAATATACCAGTCCCTGTTTTAAGCACTGGTGATACAGTGACCAGCAGGGACAGGTAAGTTCTTCGCTTTCATGCACTGTCCTTAACAGACCAAGATTCAGGACAACCTGGAGCAGACTTGGCAGAGCTATGGGCAACAGAGAGGCAGAAAGGCTCAGGGGTGTAGAGGTTCAGGGGCAATTGGGCTTTGGAAATATCAGAATTTTGGTGCAGCTCTGATTAGTACTGTCTGTACATAATCCTAAAAACTAAGTAAATTTTGTTAAAAATATTTTTCAGTGGCTGGGAATCATGTTCTGAGTTTCAAAAATTAACATTCAGATAAGCTTTAAGGTGCCTTCCATTTATAAATTGATGGTTACCTGTCGTTACACATGGTTTTTACATTTGGTTTTCTATTTGACTTGTTTTAGGCTTCTAAATTATTTATTTCTGCAACTTAATTCATAAGAGTGATGTAGAGTGGAAGGGTAAACAGCTATAACAGAAAGACACCAAACTGCAATGACTAAACAATGTTAGAAGTCTGTTTCTTTCCTCATATAACAGTCCAGTGTGGGTGTTCCACGTTAGCCTTCAACTCTGTTCCCCACTCCCCCACCCCATCCATTCTGGGACTCCCTTCAACGTGTGATTTCCAGTCACTCTGGTTTTCACTAATCCAGCAGTGGGGAGGGTAAAGGGTCGAAGTTCAGGGTCACAAAATTCCTTTGAAAACAAGCGAGGCCAAATTGGGCATATCAGTTTGGTTATGTTCCATTGGTGGGAGCTTGGTCACAACTTGCAGAGGGACTGGGGGTACATACCTTTGCTTGGGTGCCACAGTCTTAACTACAGCTCCGTTACTTTGGAAGCCAGGAGAATGGATTTTATGCATACATAGTAGTCTCTTCCACATGGGAAAAAGGGGGTATTGTTTTTTTTCCTATGTGTATCTTAACTGTGTCAGATGGCCTAGCTGATGGACTTTGACTTCTTCTGATTTGTAGATGAGCCCATGGAGCCCACCATGGAGGAGACTGTTGCAGGTGACTTTGCGTTAATAAATAAATTGGATATACAGTGTGACCTTAAAACACTCAGTGATGACCTCAAAGAGAGCTTTGAGAGTGAAGAAAAGAAGAAAGGAAAAAGCCCAAAGAAAGAAGAATCTAAGGGATTAATTCAGTCACAACATATAGAGGAGAAGTTGGGCTCTGGTGAGCCATCCCATACAATTAAAATGCACATGGCTCCTAAGCCAGGTAAGGCAAGTTTGCTCTGTGGCTATTTTAAAATCCTAGTAAGTGATTTTCTTTGTGCTTCAGACTTTGTAGCCCCTGGGTTCTCCCATCAGCTAAAAACACGAATTATGTGAAATCTGCAAAATAGATCCATATTTTGTACAATTTATTATTACCTGGATTTAGAATGGACAGATCATATCTTTAAAAACTGCTATGTTTAAAAATCCAGAAATAATTAGTTTTATTATCCCCAAATACAGTATTTTAAAAGAGTTTCATTTCTTCTTACTACCTTAGGACCCGAGAGGTTTGAGAATCAAATTTTTATCTGTGAAAAGATGTGCTGCTAAACGTTTTTGTTTTTTGTGTGAAGTGAGACAAAGTAAATTTTAGGTATTATGTTCAAGGTACAGACATTAAAGTTCTTTAGTTTATCATTAGATTTCTTTATGTAATCATAATGAATTTTAGTTTAAAAATTTCCAAATTTTGATATTTAACTTTGCCTTTAATAAGGTCAAAAAATTTTTTTCTATATTTTCACTTGTAAAAGAATTGGGTTTTAAAAATGTATACAGAATTGGGACGCCTGGGTGGCTCAGTTGGTTAAGTGTCCAACTCTTGATTTCAGCTCAGGTCATGATCTCCTAATCCTGGGACCAAGCCCCATGTCTGGCTCTGGACTCAGCAAAGAGTCTGCTGGAGATTGTTTCTATCCCTCTGTCCCTCCCCCTGCTCGCGTGCTCGCTCTCTGTCTCTCTCTCACATAAAGAAATCTTAAAAAAAAAAATTATCCAACATTAAATGGGTTTATTATATATACATATATGTGTGCCTGCATGTGTTTGACCTTTTAAAAAAATTACTTCATTAAATGTCAGTTTGCATGGTTATGCTTCAGTTCCTGAATTTGTACTTATATTTATTTACATAGAATGATCCAAAGGAGACATTTCTATTACTATTGTAGTTTTTCTTATCTAAATCATGTTAACATACAGAAAACTGTGCATTTGCATTTTCCTTGAATAGTTTTTCTTAACGTAAGGCTTTTCTGGTGTTTAAGGGGTTGCCAACTGAGATTTCATCCTAATTAGTAAGAATAGTCCAATGAAATGTTCTGAATGATTTAGATAATTTCTTTCAACTCTTATTACTCTCTGGGGTGATAGGGTCAGTTCTTTTATTATTTTAATTGTTTATTGTAAAGATTACTTAGAGTTTATTAAATTTTAAAAACCTTCATTTTGGAAACATAGACTATGATAATGAACTTCCACATACCCTGCTTTTATGTGACACTGTTACTGACTCATGGTGGGCACTCTTGTGTCATCGATACTCATCATCCAGTTGTCCCCCCCCAGTACTATATTGAAGCAAATTCCAGACATTATATCATCCCATATGTCAGAATGCTTCTCTAAAAGATATGAACTTGTGCCTATGTAGCTCAGTTGGTTAAGCATCCCATTCAGGATTTCAGCTCAGCTCATGATCTCATGGGTCATGAGATTAAGACCCGACTTGGGCTCCATGTGCAGTGGGGAGTCTGCTTGAGAGTCTCTTCCTTGGCCCCTCTCTCCACTCAAGTCTGTGAATACTTTCTCTTGCTCTCTAAAATAAATACATCTTTAAAAAAAAAATAAAAGAACTTTAAATACATATTCATAGTCCCACCATTACATCTAAGTAAGATTCCTTAATGTTACTGAATAGTCCATGTTTAAGTTTTCAATTTTGTTTGCATCAGGATACAAATACAGCCACATATTGTAGTTGGTTGACACAATTAGAAAAATCTCTGTAGATTTGTAGGTTCCTTCCATCACTCCCACTTTTTTATTTGCACTTTGTTGAAGAAACTAGGTTGGTTGTTCTGGGTTATTTGATTACATCTGCAGTGCAGTTTAACATATTCCTGTACCTGCCTACAAACTGATAGTTGGATCTAGAGATTCAAGATTAATCAGACCAGATTCAAGATTAAATTGTATTTTGGTTTTTGGTGTTTCTGGTTTGTTTTACTTTTTTGGGAAGAGAGAGAAGTCTTAATCAGATTTGAGTTCATATTATTTATTTGAGGATAGGTCAGATTACTTCATGGGTGGTGGGATGTTCTTTCAGGAGACACATAATGTCTGGGTACCTCTCTTTTTTAATGCTAATAGCCAGGGATCAATGCTCAGTGCCTAAATCCATTGATCCCTTAGATATACTAAGTCTGTCATTTGTTTTTCATTTACTAGCTGGATATTTCCATAAACAGAACCTTCATCTCATCTGTTTGTTTCCCATAGAACTCATAGCAAAGGCAAGAGGAATTCTTTTTTTTT